TGAGTTCTTCGGAAGAAATTTTCCTTTCCTCTTTATCATCATCATCATCATCATCATCATCATCATCATCATCATCATCATCATCATCATCATCATCATCATCATCTCTCTCCTCTTTATCTTTTGCCTGCCCATTGGCAGCCCACTTTAATGCAACTGTAGCCCTACCAAATAAAAGTACTGAGCCATGGTGGCACAGTGGTTAGAATCAGTGGTGGGTTCCTACCAGTTCGGCCCGGTTTAGCCAAACTGGTAGTGGTTTATTGGCCTGGGTTGCAGAACCAGCAGCACCCCCAGGCTGGCCATGTCCCTGAACTGGTTCTCTGGTCACTGCAGTCGCTGCCACCATCTTGTTTTGGAGGGCTGCGCATGTGCAGAACTATTTCTATTTAACTGTGCATGTGCACGCGGCGTGCATCCAGTGCATGCGCACGAAGCACACACACGAGCAAACCGGCAGCAACCCCGGCTAGAACCCACCCCTGGTTAGAATGAAGTATTGCAGGATAACATTCCCACTGCCAGGAGTTCGATCATGACCGGCTCAAGGTTGACTCAGGCTTCCATCAGTAAAATGAGGGTCTAGATTGTTGGTCACAGTATATAAGTCTAAGTGCTAATGATATTGCTATAAAAAACATTCCCACTGCCAGGAGTTCGATCATGACCGGCTCAAGGTTGACTCAGGCTTCCATCAGTAAAATGAGGGTCTAGATTGTTGGTCACAGTATATAAGTCTAAATTCTGTAGGATATTGCTATTCTAGATGAGGATGTGGAAATTAGGATCCATATGCCACCTCTCCTCTATGACTCAGTCATAATCCAGTCAAATTATCAATTTAGTTCAGAAAAGTGACCTGAGTTGATTCAAAAATTGGAATTAATTTGGAACACTCTTCTAATTCACTCTGAATATTGAGTGTTGAAATTGAAGATCGAATGAGTTTGAGTCCATTCTGGTTTCCAAATTTATTCAGAAAAACCTCTGCTATATAAAAAGCAATCAAATCTTTTGAATTAATTGAAAGGATTCTAATTCAATCTGATAATTTGAATCCACTTTCCTATTTGATTTAGAAAGTCAATAAAATCAAAGTTTTGAGAAATCATCTTTGAACTGACACTCCCATTGGCATGCAATTTAGTGGAAAGTCAGTTTCCTAGTCCCAGTTGATTAACAATTGCAGAAACAAAATATATTATCCCCTAATAAATTAAATTGTTGAAACAATGTTTACAGTAATTATGAATCAACTTTTGTGAGCTTAGCTGGTGCTTTATTGCTATATTTAACATATTCAGGTGAAACCTATGTTTCACTTCTAAAGATAAGGTCTTCACTGGAATCACCAGGTTCAACTTTAAAAAATATGTAATTTTCTCTGAGTTATTTGGGGGTGGGAGAGAAAGAAGGAAAAATGAGAAGGAACTGTAGTGTTTTCACTTATGTTCAAACGTCTTATGCTATTCAGCTGTATATTTCATTTTTTTTACAGATCAGACATTTAAGTAATCCCAACAGACTAACTAAGCCATTTCTGATATTTGCAATATTTTACTTTTCTTTTACTTTGCTTGCATCTTATTCATTCCACGTGTGTAATATCATTTTTCTCTCTTAAAAATCCTGATATAGAAACATTAATGATGCTGCCATGCTAATATAAGCCTCATTAGTACAAGGAGGCATAAACCACAAGTTCAGTTCAAATGGTTTCTTTTCCAATTTGTTGTTTTTTCTTTATAAAGAAAATTATTTATATTAAGAAATTAATAAAATTGTCTTTAAAGTTATTTATAAAATTGTTTTTTTAAAAAAAAAATATGGGTAAAAGTTTTATTTCTGATTTGCCCCT